GATTTTGGTACATAGTGGAACATGATAGGAAAGGTGGGCAAAGGAGGGACAACTCCTCAACCTGACAGTTTGAGAAGGTAAATTTTTTAGGGAGTTGACCTCTGCCAAGTTGACCCCTTTATCTCAAGGTTCCCCCTCATCTATTTAACCAATGGGTTATTTTGGAAAAACTAATCACATCTGAGTGGTCCTGGTGGAGGGAGAAAATGCTGAGCTGAGAAGCCACAGGCCTCGGTCCTACTGTTGGTTCTCTCACAGACTCACTGCAACCTTGGGTAGGCCTCAGCCTCTCAGGGCTTGACTTCTTTATCTGCAGAATGAGGGGCTGGATTTAAGGGTTTTCAAAATGTGTCCCTCCAAGCCTACGAAGACTTCAGAGATGCCTGTGAGGGGTGGGGAAGTGTGGAAGGATCTCAGGGCTTGCAGAAAGACAGCTCAGCCTTTGTTCTGTTTTCTCTTTGGGGCTTCTGCTTTTTCTGTGTTTTACATCTTGAGATTCTGCCAAAAATTTAAAAAAAAATTAAACTTCTTGAAGAAAGAGTTTTCCTGCTTTCAAAAAAGTTTCAAAATCACTGAATTAGTTTATCAGCTCTAGTATAAAGCGTTATTCGTAGAGGTTTGCGAACTCTGAGGCCTGCAGCTCATCTGAACGATAGGTCTTTCCTCCATTTGCCTACCCCTGCTTGTCTGGTTATAGTTGCTGCTGTTGGCTCCAACCTCAGGCATAAATCAAATCAACAAGTAGCCAACAAATATTAGAGGGGAGATTCTGACACATTATCCAGCTCAATAGCTCGTTTGGGGGGATTTTCTTTCTTTGTTTTGGTGAACAGATGTGTTCTTTTTTGATATTATCTTGATCATATACAATATAGTCCCATTTGCTACTGACAAACTGCCTGGTTCACATGATTTGATAAATATATCAACGTTTCACAAGTTTGAAAATCACTCAACTGACTTTTAAAAACTAGCTATAATTTATTGATAACCTAATAGGTGCTGACTTTATGGATATCACCACTAAGCTTCAGATTATTAATGCTGCAAAGGAGCTGTTTTTATGTCTGTTTTACTGACAAATAAGGAAACTAAGACGAGGTGGGGTTAAAGACTTACCTGGATCACACAAGTTTTTAACCCATACCTGTCCCAGCAAATTCTCAACCAGATAATCTCTCTTAAGGTTGTTTCTAGCCTTGAGAAGGTAGGAGGCAGGACTTCTGGGTGTTTTAAGCTGTCCTAGGATCAACAGCAAAACTGCTGTCAATTTTCAACTTCCCAGAGCCTCTCATCTACTGAAAACCTTGAGTGGAAGCTTGTTGAACTCAGAGCTATTCAAGTTTGTTGCCCTGATCTTTACTGATAGGAGGGTGTCTGAATTTAAATAGTCCCTTCCACAGTCTGGACATCATCCTTGGGAAATGAAAGAACTTTAGATCTGGGGATGGAAATAGACTGGTGGGGATGAGTAAGTGGATTTTTCAGTGTTATTTCTGCACTTGGCTGAGCCGAGTTTCCCCTGCCACAAAGGAGATTGCTTTCCGTGTTTGTTGATCTACCTACCATTCTGGTCTAATGGATTCAGTTTCCCAAGTAGCAGATATATGCCAAGAGTGTAGCACAAGGCAAGCATTGATTGTGGACAGGTTTTTTGTTTTGTTCTGTTTTTGTTAGGCACTTTGTTGGGCACATAGTATAACCTAGATCAGTGTTTCTAATTACTGTAACCACTGGAATTTTTTTTTCTTAAAAGCTTACCTACAAGACAGAAGACCAGTACTTTTCGTTTGCATACTGTAACATTTTCAGGGAATGCTTATGAAAAAACAACAATGGAAACAGACAGCAGAGGTGTTACTAGTCTCGATTCTCATTTCATAGGCAGGAAAAATCACTGACCATTCATTCCCTTGGCCAGTGGAAGAGCCTGGACTGTAACTCAGATATTTCCACTTCTATTCGTCTGTCCTCTCCGTTTTATTATAGTCATTTGGCTTTTCTAACTGGAGGGGAAACCAATTGACTTTCAGCATCGACCTAGTTTATGGTAACATCTCTGATGGTGATTTTGAAAAATAAAGGAAAAAAGCCTATTAATTGCATGGTTTGAGAAAAACATCAACAACCATTGTTTTTCCGTTAAAAAAAAAAAAAGTAGAGGTCCCAATTATAAGTAAGGTCTTAAAGTTTAGAGTTCGCCATTAGGAAAAATATGGGCAAGTGTTTCTGAGCCCACTACTACCTGTCTCCTCCAGAGAAGAGAATGGAATTTGGATACTTCCCTCTTCTGGGAGCATTGTTTTTTGTTTGCTTTGCAGCCCAAATACTCGATTGATTGATTGATTGCCTCTGACTTCTACAGCTAAGTGAAGGGGGTTGTGTATGGCTTTCTTTCTTTCTTAAGATTTTATTTATTTATTTGACAGAGACACAGCGAGAAAGGGAACACAAGCAGGGGGAGAGGGGGAAGCAGGCTTCCCGCTGAGCAGGGAGACCGATGCGGGGCTCGATCCTAGGACTCTGGGATCATGACCTGAGCCGAAGGCAGACGCTTAACGACTGAGCCACCCAGGTGCCCCCTGTGTATGGCTTTCTTTTATGAAGGAAGAAAGAAGTGTGCTGGAACTTGCTCCCTTTGCTTTGAGGTTCTCAGAGCAGATGCTAACAGATGCACCTTGGTTACTTGGATGCCTCTTCTCTTTCCTTACAGGTTCATTTTTCAAATGGGTGTGCCTAATTCTGCCCCTCTGTGATAATGAGGCAGGTATTTAGAAGCCACAAGAGTAGTCTGAAGAACACTTTGGGTTGCCCTAGACAGAGGTGACACAAGAAGGACTCACCTAGAGGATAAGAACTTGGTAGTCAGGTAATCATTCAGTTCCATGTCACTTAGAGCAGTACTTTGCTACCTTGGCTACACAAGCAATTATACAAAGAGCTTTTCAAACATACTAATACCTGAGACTCATCACCCGTCGGTCAGGGCAAGATCTAAGCAAAGGTAATTTTTAAGTTTCCCAGGTGATTCTTTTTTTTTTTTTTTTAAGATTGTATTTATTTATCTGAGAGAGAGAGAGAGAGAGAGCCACAAGCAGGGAGGAGGAGCAGAGGGAGAGGGAGAAGCAGAATCCCTGAGGACTCAATCCCAGGGCCCTGAGATCATGACCTGAGCTGAAAGCAGATGCTTCACTGACTGAGCCACCCAGGTGCTCCTCCCAGGTGATTCTAATATGCAGTAAGGTTTGAGAATCTCTGATAGAGGCTTCCAGTGTCTTGTTCAAACCCAGATGGGATAATCCCCAGTGACAGCAATTTATTCTGCCAGCACATTACAGGTATGTTGGGTGAACAGTTCATTCAGGATAAAATACACATTTACTGAGCACCTGTGTTCTAGGTGCTGAGAATACTTCCAGGAACAAGACAGCCTGTCTCTACCAACAGATGCTTGCTTTCTAGTGGGCGGAGACAATAAACACACCAACAGGACTGCGGTAAGTATTAAGAAGGAAGCCGACTGTGACTAGGGGGTCAAGGAAGGCCTCTCTGAGAAGCCATTTTTGCAAGACCTCAGGGGAGCCAGTGATCAGGCAGAGGAAATAGAAGGTAAAAAGGTCCTGAGACGAGGAGGGTGGTGTGTCTGAGGAACAGAAAAGACTGCAGGCACTTTCGTTTATCTAGAAAGACGAGTGGCAGATAGTGAGCCAGCCTGACATTTTGTAGGGTTCACACAGATCACCCAGTATGTTCTTGCCAAATAGGACACACTCTGCCAAGGAAACACAAAGAGAAGTATCCTTCGGGAGCCAGGGTACCCTGCACTGGACAAAGAGGGCTCCGCGGTATTAGCCAAAAATTGCTGACTATGAGAAAAAATTCGGCAGTCCTACATGACACTGAGATAAGCTATGAAAAGGGAAAAATTCAATTATACATTTGATATCCAGAGGATTTGGCCTAATTCTTTAGTCTTTATCTTGTTGCTAACCATCAACTGAAGGCAGCCTGTCAGTGTGCAGAACTTGCCTCATTTCAGAATGCATTCGGTTCTCTGACAGTATTTTTGGGGTCTCTACCCAACCAAACTTTCTGGAAGGCAGAATGTTTGTCAGATATATGTAAGGCTGGAGAAATCAACTATGTGCCTATAGGAGACCTAGATATTTCTATGACTTTCTTGTTTTAAGAAACACAGACCCAGCTCCCTTCCTCATTTTCACACAAGACTTCTACCTAAATTGTGCAAGCTCACTAACTTCTTAACACCTAATGGCAACCAGAGAAAAGAGCTACACCGATTTATTTTTAAAGCTTATTTATTTATTTATTTATTTATTTTAGTAATCTCTACACCCATCGTGGGGCTCAAACTCACGACCCCAAGATCAAGAGTCACATGTTTCACCGAATGAGCCAGCCAGGAACCCCAACACTTATTTTTAGCAAAACTTTCTGAGGTCTCTCTGCTATTTAATTTAAATTATCTTTTCAATCATATAACCTGGAATTAATTTTCCTGGTTGACATGTTGTTACTCATCCTCTGTAAAACAAACCATGGGGTTCAATGCAAAGAAAACAACTATGATTAATATATATCCTCAACCAAAACGTCCAAGAATTTCAATAATTTCCAAATGCTTTTGCATAAGAGATCATAATGATGCTTTGATAAAATAGGAGTGCTTTAAAAGGCTATCTTAATGGGAAAGATAGCCCTTCTTAAATTCTTATGAGGCAAGGAAAAACTTACCCAATTATTTTTTTTAAAAGAGTTTATTTATTCATCTGAGAGAGAGAGAGAACACACAAGCAGGGGGAGCAGCAAACAGAGGGAGAGGGAGAAGCAGGCTCCCAGCTAAGCAGGGAGCCCAACGTGGGGCTTGATCCCAGGACCCAGAGATCATGACCTGAGCCGAAGGCAGATGCTTAACCATCTGAGCCACCCAGGTGCCCCAAAACTTACCCAATTATTAAAAAAAAAAAAAAGACTATGGCAATTGTTAAAGGATTTCTTTTATTTCTAACAATATGAGTTTTATAAGCTCTTCCCATGCCGTAAGTAGCATGAAACACAGTCAGTGGGATCATGGAAAGATGGTGACTGAATACAGATGGAGAAAAACAAGTCAAGAAATATTCAGAGGAAACCTGGTACAGTTTTCTCTTTTTTGAAGCTTAAACAAGACAAGATGGATTTAAATTGCATCAGGATGGGTTTCTTCTTGAAATAAGATGCCCCTAATGCCTATAAAACAAGCCAGTTGATTAGACATCTTCATGTCTCCGGTTTCCATCAGTTCTTCAGTTATGTGGTAGAGATCCACGTGGTTTCTTAAGCACAACAATTACAGTACCTGTAAATGAAGGTTAAGTATTACCAAAGTTAGTAAAAATAATTAATTAGTGGGTATTTACATCACAAAATGATTGGCCATGAGGCCAGAGGACTGCGTCTGTCTTGTTCATTGTCTTCCCAGCACCCAGCACTTGGACCTGACACTTCACGGATACTCTTTGAATATTTGTTGAATGAACTCATTTTTCAAGTAGCAGCTGCATTGCACGCCTTTGATCCCTCCAAACTTGATTTAGAAGTAACTTCTCCAGGAGCGCTTGCCTTACCCAAAGAGAAGCAGACTCACAAAGAGGGAAGGAGATGCTCAAGGATGAGCAAGGATGGAAATCATGGAAAACAGCAAAACCTCTTTTTTCCTGAAGACCTTTTAAGATTAGGACAAGCAACTGTTTGTAAAAGCAGAACCATGGAAGATTTGAACCATCAGGCACGATCGTGCTTTGAAGTATATTCCTGGCTAAATGCAGGAGATAAACTAGATCAAACTTAGAGGCTCTAAGATCCGTCCCTGATTAAATAGGCCTAAGAGTGGGAGCCTGAAAAGTATATCCTTTGGATATTGTTATTAGCAGCAGCCTCCAGATCTGAAAACAGTGCTAAACACGCTTTCAAATGATCTTTGAGGTGCTTTAAGCTACAGCTGAAAGCTTACCTAGCCTTCTTTTCTATTTGCTTGAACAAGAGCCTGAAAAAGAAGGTTAAAGAGCTTTCTAGTGATGTCCTTTACTCCTGTCCTAAAAAGAACCTCTGTTCTTCACTGAGCTAAGAAGATTTCACAACTCCCAGAGGATAATATGAAGTTAGTTTTTGCTCCCTGCTGAACCAACTAAAGTTCCTTTCAAATTCTTTTCCTGGACTGGAAAAGTGTCTGAGCTCTTCAAGCTACTATTGTTATTGCAGAAAGATGGAAATTATGTTATATTCTATAAAGGGGCATAAAACATTTAAATAAAAATTTAAATTTAAATCAACATAAAATGTGTGAAAGGTTAAAAAAGCATACCATAACATTTAGAAGTACTTACCATTGGTCTGTGAGAAAACATTTTCTTTAGTGCCTCAGCCTGTAAGTGAATGTCAATAAAGATGAGCGAGAAGATATTTTATACACACATTTTTTCATATTTATTACATGACACATTTATTATTAAGAATGTATTATTTATATGGGGATAGTCATCCCTTCCATAACTGACACTGCACCCAGCCTTGTACACATATATGGTGTAAGTATTTAAAGGCATGTAAATTATACCAAAGTCACAAAACTGGCAAGCACAATATGAGAAATAACAGTGCCACTATCAGCAGTCTTCAGACTTAAAAAAATTATTCGCTGCTTAACTAAGTAATTAAAATATATCTGTTCCTGGGGCGCCTGGGTGGCTCAGTCGGTTAAGCGTCTGCCTTCGGCTCAGGTCATGATCCCAGAGTCCTGGGATCGAGCCCCGCATCGGGCTCCCTGCTCAGCGGGGAGCCTGCTTCTCCCACTCCTGCTCGCCCTGCTTGTGCTCTCTGTCTCTGTCAAATAAATAAATAAAATCTTTTTTAAAATAATAAAATATATCTGTTCTTTTTGTCTCTACATGTGTTCATATGCGTGTGTAAATGAATATATACACACACAGCCCATATATATGGGTTTAATGTATATAATACTATAACAAAGTTGGAAGTTGCTGGCTAGGCATCACTTTTTTGAACAGCTTTATTGAGATAGTATTCTCTTACCATAGAATTCACACTTTAGTGTTGATGTGGAGCCATCACCGCAAACTAATTTTAAAATATTTTCATCACCCCCCCAAAAGTACTATTAGCAATCACCCTCCATTCTTCATCTTCTTCCCCCCAACCCAGCCCTCAGCAACCACTAATCTACTTTCTGTCTCTGTAGACTTGCTTATTCTGGACATTTTACATAAATGGAATCCTACAACATGTAGTCTTTTGTATTTGGCTTTGATCACCCTGCATGTTTTTGGGGTCTAGCTATGTTGTAGAATGTGTCGGGACCTAACATTTTTTATGGCTGAATAATATTCCAGTGTGTGGATAAACAATTTTTGAATATTCATCCATCAGTTAATGAACATTTGGTTTGTTTTCCATTTGGGGGCTATGATGAACAACACCGCCATGAACATTTGTGTGCAAGTTTTTGTGTGAACGTGTTTTCATTTTGGGGGGTTGCTGGGTCGTCTAATTAAACTGTGTAACTTTTCGAAGAACTATTTTCCAAAATGGCTGCACCATTTCACATTTCTACTAGCAATGTATGAGGGTTCCAACTTTTCCACATTCTGATCAACACTTGTTATTGTCTGCCTTTCTTATTAGAGCGGTCCTAATGGATGTGAAGTAGTATCTCATTGTGGTTTTGAGTTGCATTTTTCTAATAAATAATGATGTTGTGCATCTCGTGCATATTGGCTATTTGTGTATCTTCACTGGAGAAATGTGTATTCAAAGTGTTTAAAAATACTTTGCCTATTTTTACATTGGGTTATTTGTCTTTTTATTGTTGAGTTGTAAGAAGTCTTCATACATTCTGGATACTGGACCCTTATCAGATGTATGATTTGCAAATATTTTCTCATTCCGTGGGTGTCATTTCTTAATGGTGTCCTTTGAATCACAGAAGTTTTTCTATGTTGATGTTCAATATATCAATTTTTTCTTTGGTTGCTTTAATTTTAATGAAGCCCAATTTATATTTCCTTTTGTTTCTTATGCTGTGGTACCATGTACTGTATACAAAGCCATTGCCTAACCCAAGGTCCTGAAGATTTACTCCTATGTTTTCTTCTTAGAGTTTTATAGTTTTACCTCTTAACATTTAGGTCCATGATCCCTTTTGATTTATTTTTTCTGTATGTTATAAGGTAGGGATCCAGCTTCATTCTCTAGCATTTGTATATCCAGTAGTCTTTCTCGATATATATGTCTTAGCACTCTTGTTGAAAATAAATTGACCATAAATGTAAAAGTTTATTTCTGGACTCTCAATTCTATTCCATTGATCTATATGTCTATCCTTATGTCAGTTCCACAGTGTCTGGATTGCTGTAGCATTGTAGTAAGTTTTGAAATCAGGAAGCATTAGTCCTTTTTTTTTTTTTTTTTGAAGGATTTAAAAAAATTTTTTTATTGTTTTTGTTGTTTTCGGTTTTTAAGTAACCTCTCTCCCCAATGTAGGGCTTGAACTCACAACCCTGAGATCAAGAGTCACATGCTGTATGGACTGAGCCAGCCAGGTGCTCCAAAGAATTTTTTTTTTTTAATCCAGTGTAGTTAACATACATAATAATGTATGTTATTACATACATAATAATGTATGTTATTTTTTTTAATCCAGTGTAGTTAACATACATAATAATCATTTCAGTCTTTTTTTTTTTTTTCAAGGATGTTTTGACTATTCTGTGGGCATCATTTCAGCAGGTCTCACTTAAATAGGGTCTAATGCTTAGTTTTGCAGTTCTAGGCCTTTGAAAAAATTATTGAGGTATAATTGACATATATTGGTTTCAGGTACATAACATAATGATTCAATATTTGTATACATTGGGAAATGATCACCACAGAAAGTCTAATTAATATCCATCACCATACATAATTACAAACTCTTTTCCTCTTGGCATGAGAACTTTTAAGATTTATTCTCTTAGCAATTTTCAAATATGCAATATAGTATTATTAACTATAGTCACCATGCTATACATTACATCCCTGTGGCTTATTCTATAACTGGATCTTTTTTTAAAAAAAAAGATTTATTTGAGAGAGAGAGAGAGTACAAGTGGGAGGGGGAGAGGGAGAGGGAGAGAGAACCCCAAGCAGACTCTGTGCTGAGCGCAGAGCCCAACGCAGGGCTTGATCTCACAACCCTGAGATCACGACCTGAGCCGAAACCAAGAGTTGGCCGCTCAACCCACTGCACTACCCAGGCACCCCGGAAGTTTGTATATTTTGACCCCCCTCACCCATTTTTCCCACCCCCTGCCCCCTCTTCTGGCACCCATTAGTCTGTTCTCTGTATCTCTGAGCTTGGTGGGGCTTTTGGTTTTTTAGATTTCACATATAAGTGAGATCATGTGGTATTTGTCTTTCTCTGTCTGACTTACTTCACTTAGCATGATACCCTCAAGGTCCATGCATGTTGTTGCAGTGGCAAGATTTCATTCCTTTTTATGGTTGAATAATATCCCATTGTGTATCCATACCACATTGCCTTTATCTATTTCTCCATTAATAGACACTTAGGTAGGGGCACCTGGCTGGCTCAGTCAGAAGAGTGAGTGTTTGACTCTTGATCTCGGGGTCGTGAGTCCAAGCCCCACACTGGGTGTAGAGATTACTTAAATAAGTAAATAAACTTAAAAAAAAAAAAAGTAGACACTTGGGTTGTTTCCATGTCTTGGCTATTGTAAATAATGCTGCAGTGAATGGGGGTGGGAGGGGGGCAGATAGCTTTTTAATTTAAGGGTTTTGTTTTCTTTAGATAAAAACCCAGAAGAGGAATTGCTGGCTCATTTGGTAGTTCTATTTTTAATTTTTGAGGAACCTCCATACTGTTTTCTATAGCGGCTGCACCAATTTACATTTCCATTGACAGTACACAGGGTTTCCTTTTCTCTGTTACTCTCAACACTTATTTCTTGTCTGTTTGATAATAGCCATTCTAACAGGTCTGAGGTGAGTTTTAGGATCTTGAGTATATCAGTTTCCCCCAAAAGTGTACAGGTGCCAGATCACTGGTTCGTATTTCTCAAACTTGTCAGAAAATATCATTTGATGTACATGCATTTTGGGATATTTCTTTTTTGGTGTCCTGAACCAAAATGCCGGTAGGGGCAGTTCCCCGTTCTAAGATGCCAAATTCATAACCAAGAGGTTGCTTGCTAAACATGGAATTGGAAACTACGGCTGAAGGGAGGGATATAGTGTAATGCATAAGAGTTCCAGGCTTTAGGACCAGCCAGCTCTAAGTTTGAATCCTACCTCTGCCACTCAATGATTGTGTAACCAGGGCAAGATTTTGGACCCTATTCATCAGTACAGTGGGAAAAATCATCCCTTCCTTATAGAATGGTTGTGAAGGTAAAATGAAATAATAAATGTAAGCCCTTAACACTGCCTAGGACTAACTAAATTTCAGTAAATGGTACCTATTGGACTCGTGGAATGTTTCCTTCAGTGTGAAGAACCGCTCTTTGTCCTAGCACAGGCTTTCTGGTGACTTGAATCATTGTGTCTGCAAATAGAGGACCTTTTTGGTTTGAAAGGCACTAGATAGGACTGAAGCCAGTTTAACGCTAGAGTGGGATACAAGGAGCTGGAGAGCATTGCCACCACTCCCTCTGGACATTCCATTGCCTGGCAGAAATGGTAGGCCAGGGTTGCTATATTTTGATGTTGTTGATAATTGATTTTTGTTCATTTAAATTGCAGAGGGTAGGGGCGCCTGGCTGGCTCAGTCAGAAGAGCATGCAAGTCTTGATCTCAGGGTCATGAGTTTGAGCCCCACATGGGGTGTAGAGATTACTTAAATAAAACCTTAAAAAATAATTAATTAAAATAAATTGCAGAACATAGTATTGACTGATCCAGCCTGTTAATCCTGGGAGTTAGAGCCATCCTTTGCAATAACTTTTTCAGAGTCCATATATTCAGAAACCTCAGTTACCAAGAATACCACTGAGACTTAAGAAATAAGTTGAACAGTCAAAATAGAGGTCACAAAAACTCATGCACTTAACCCACAAGAGAATCCCACAGAAAATCATTACTCAAAACCCGAGAGTCTAAACTAAAAAGTTTATTAGTGTCTATTCATGGTAGAATAGAAGCATCAAGGAAGGAAGGAAGGAAAGAAAAGGAAGGAAGGGAGGGAGGGAGGGAAAGAAAGAAAAGAAAAGGAAAGAAAGAAGAAAGAAAGGAAGGAAGGAAGGAAGAAAAGAAAAAGAAAGAAAGAAAAAGGAAAGA